TTGATGAACAGTTTGGGTTTGCCATTTGGACTTTGTTCGGCGGTTGTCCGGCTTGTATGGGAGTGCCGGGCACCTGCTTCTACTAACAGGACTTGTGTTGTTTGTTTTGGAAGGAAGCATGACTCAGACTTTGGCTCGGCATTTTGCAAAGCTGTCCGGGAGAGGAGAGCTGGAGCCTGAACAGCGCGAAGATACGGGCTTGTCTTGGAGACAACAGAGCTCACTATTTTGCGATTCCGGACCATCTGATGTGTTGAGAGCGACCACGGACACACCCCTCCGCTGGATGCTCAAAAAAGCCTTTATCATAGGGTGTGGCACGAGCACATTCCTTCTCCAGGGGCTCAGGACGCTTTCCAATCAAGACAACCGTGCCCGTGTCAAGAGAGTGTAGCCTCGTTGAGGAATCAGTGATAAGTTGGTAGTTGCTGCGACTCGCACTGAGGGTTTAGGGTCACTTCTCCTTTGGTCCGATTTTTGTCTTTTCTGGTTGGTGATTCGTGGCTGTTTTGCAACATGTACTCGTATGTTGCAGGGAAGTGTAGGAAGCTCTGTGACCACCTGAAGCAGTTTGCGTCTGAATGCTCAGCAGAAACATCCACGGAGCATCGACACCAACAGTAGGCTCGAACCTCGAGCGGAGACCCCAACGGCACTCGAAACTTTACGTGTCGACGAAAAAGGTGGTCCAAATCTCCGAGGCAAGGTCACTTCGAAGCCGATTGCCCATGAGCCCGTGTCCAGCGAGGCCCTCCCGCCGGTCCCTGGTGTCCATCCTCCAGGCGCTTGCAAGAGGATCGAAAACTTCCGGTGCACAGGGGTAAAAAACAGCTTCTTCCAATGCTGTCGGCGCATTGTCACTTGATGTGAGCCCCTGAGGCTTCCCACCGGAGGAGCCCAATAGCCCGAGCTCGTGCGGCACTCAGAGTTGTTGCACTTGACGACTTGGGTAAGGTCGATAGCCGGGATGGTTTCTTCAGGGCTTCCTCTTCGTCGAGTGCCTCGCCACCGCCCCCGGCACATGATGAACTGATGCAGAGGCACGCAGATCTTAAATGCTCTCTTTGCAGCTCCCGTGTGTATATATTTTTTGGGGAAGCACACTCGAGCACAGAGAAGCCTTCTTCCGCGGGCATGCATCGAATTCAGGTCGCAGCCGAACCAACCAGTGACCACCATAGCTGTGCTGGTTGGCATTGCTTGGGCACTCGCGCGCAGGTTCAGCTCGCTGGGTCCCCGGGCTTCCCCGCCAGGCTGGGCCTAGGCCTAGGTTTGCTCGATCAGGTTTGAACAGGAGAGGCTCCTCCACAAAGGCATCATGCATGTGAAGCAGCATGTCATTTCCCAATGCCGCTATTGATTACTTGGTGTTGGCACGGTTCCAGCAGTGATGCGCAGCCGAGCATGCACATCAGCCTGATGCAGGTCAGCCTGACAGACTGTACGCCTCTGTACAATCACCTTGCTTGGCACTGACGAACTTTCAGCAATTGCTAGCCGAGTCCATGTTCGGGTTAGCGGGGCACATACTCCGGCTGTGTGATAATGTTGAAACGCCCGATCGTCTTCCCCTCCTGTGAAGACTCAGTCCTACCACTCGACTCAATCCATCATAGGTGATGCAGCTTCCTGGACTCATGCACTTCGTCACAGCGAGGCCTCAAAGGGAAGCCCTTCTTGAGGCATGTGGTTGAACTTCAGAAAAGATGCTACACTCTGTTTCTTCGACTTTCCAGACTTGAACTGAAGCGCCTAATAGGGTGCAGTACCACTCCAGCCGCGGATACCGTGAAAGCCTCCACGCGACGAAAGGCTCAAGAAGGTTACATAAGAGTCATGTCAGGACCGGGAAGCGTGCAGGCATCAGTCTTGTGTCCCGCTCCAGCCCGGACAATTCCAGGGTAGGTTCTGTTCCCTCGCCTAAAGACTACGTCGCACGCCAAATCCTGAGGCAGCCCCACCGCCACGAACGCCCGAGCCGCAGCCGCTTGGTCATTGACGTGTTGGATAGACCTCGCGCGGTGCTTTCTTCAGGCTTTTGCTCAGGCCTGGCGCATTGGGATTGCTTCCGCTGTCACATCTTTTTTCGTCGTATACAGCTTTAGGCCCCTCGCTGGCCCCCTTTTTGGGGAAAGGGAAGCTTTGGCGGGCAGCCGGGCGATGCTGGGCGACTCGTGCTCCGACCTTCGAGGCCAGAGCCGATGCTGCCGGCCTGGGCGCGGCCTCCCGGAGGCGCTGGAAAAGGGGGCATTGCGGGCACTCGTATAGAGATTGAGGCTCATGGAGGATTCCTTCAGGTCTGATGTGCTAAGGTTTGGGTATGAAGGCACCCAAATTGGCCTCGTTCTGAAGCTGCGATCCGCTACCTTTTTGCGAAACGGCCGAACAGACCGAGGAAGCTCGAGCCATCAGCGCCGCACGGTGGCAGTCAGTCACGACGTAGACGTAGTGTGCAGTGGCTGACATCTGCACGTAAGGCAGTCCTCCGCGACTACCGGAACCTCCGAGAGAAGGGCGCGAGGCCAGTGGCGTACCGAAAATTGAAGTGAAAATTGACACAATGTAGTGCTCGTACGAGCATTCATGGGTAGACAGAATCTCTGCATATTCGGGAGCTGGCTTCAAGCAAAGTTCGCTACCAACTGGTTCTCATCATCACGGCGTTTGCAACTAGGTGCGAAGGCATTTGCACATCTGTGTTAACGCGAGCGTTTGCATCCTCCAAGTGGACCTTACGGCCCCCGAGTCCACGTGACATAGGAGCTCGGGACCTCGTCGCGTGTCATATATATGTATATATATATATATATATATCTCTCTCTCTCTCTCTCTCTCTCTCTCTCTCCCTGTTCATCACTGCTTCGGGCTCAGGGTCAGTATGACGCAGCCCCGTGACTTGCAAAATTTAATTGGGAAGGTGAAACAAAGCAGCCGGGGAGTGCACGTTACCGCTCCATAGCCAGCTACGTCCAGACTGACGTGAAGAGAGGATGCCCGGAAGGCGACTGAGGTGACTGAGGACAAGGCCCATCTGGAGAAGCCTTCTGGAATCTCCAGGCTTACCATGAATCCACGGTGCCATAACTGTGGTCTCGCCCTGACAGGAGTACATTGTCATTTGATCGGGGACACCCTGATGTTGATTTCCAAGCGCCAACGGTTAGGGAGCTGGACCCCCCTAAGTGCTGACCGGGTCGTCGATGTCGTCGCCGCGTGCTCCGACCTTGGTTCTCTCGTCACATGTGATACAGCTGTCCAAAGCATTCCATAGCCCCGCATAGGGTGTGCACGGGCTGACGACGAGGAGACTTTGTTGATCGCCCATGTTACCGAGCGGGATTGGGTATGTTTGGAGTAGGATGCAACGGCAACCGCCCGCCGCAGCCTTCGGCTCGCAGCAGGTCTGTTGCATTTGACTTTTGTTCTTGCGTGTCCGTTCGGTGTACTTGTCCGTCCGGTCCTTGTTCTGTCAGGTGCTTCCGACCTAGGCTCGAGCCATGGCTTCTTCGTCTTCGAGTTCTGAGAGATCCCGTTCTCCTGGCCGTCCGGGTCCGCCCGATGGTCATGCAGGACGGATCTCCGCATCTTGGGTGGCTGCTCCCCATTCCGTCCGTCAGGACCGGTGATGGTGGACAGTCCTTTGCCAGGCGGGTCCTTTCCTGCTTTGGTCCGGCTCCGTCCTTTGCTGTCGTGCCAGGTCACGACTCAAACGACGAGCCGTTTGGTCGGGCGCCCGGTTGCCCCCGTCCGCTTTCTTGAGTTTATACTGCTTTCCGGTACTTAGGTCCGGTCTACACTCCGAGTCCTGGTGGAGGTGGTTCTCCTTAGGAGCTCTTCTCCTTTGACCGCAGGTATCGTCACGTACGATCTCCAATTGGTGGCAAGGAGGATGCATCCACGACGTAGTCCGGAACCATTCCCAAGCCTTTGGCTTGGTCCAGGAGATCCAGGGCCCGGAGCCTCTTCTGGTTCAAGCCGCCCAGCTTCTTCTGCAGCTTCTTGCGTTGCCCAGTTTTGAGTTTGGGCAGCTGGTCCTCGGGCTTCTCCTCGCCCTTGCCTTCTTCTTCGGATGTGAGGCGAGGCCTTCATCCTTCGGCTCGGCCTGGGCTGTGTCATGCAGGTCAATGCGGCGGCTCTTCCTGCAGCCCTGCTCCACACGGTCGGTAGCCGTTCTTTTATACTTCACATCTTCATAAAGCCACGTCTTCCCTCACCGCACAGAAATAGCGCCTGGTGTTGGCGATGATGCTATCCGCCTGGTCGCCCTTGCCTTCGTACCGCTTGCGAATATCGTCTTCATCGAAGTATTCGCCCGTCCCCTGAAACTCGACGACAGTGCTCTCCGCGTTATACTCCTCAGAGAAGCTTTCGCAGTCATGTTCATGCTTCTTCTGCAGCCGTGCAACAGCTGCTTTGAGGGCATGGCATGCCCTGCACCTCCATGTTGGGTAACGACACAGTTCTCCACGTCGCCTTCCGACGGCATGTGCCGCAGCGTTTCTGCTGTGCCACCTCCTGGTCGACGTCCGTCGCAGCGACCCGTACACACTGCACGGTGTGACTGGTGTCACCTGGAGGTTGCCCAAAGCCAGCTGTGAACCCTCTGCCGCCTCCGCTTCGTCGGCCTGAGGGCTTGCAGTTGCGGCCTGAGTTTGACTCACGCCTGCATTTGCGGCCTGAGTCTGTTGGGTTTCAAAAACCGCTTCTGGCCCTTCCACGGTGTCCGCCATGTCTTCTGCGGCCGCAGCAGAGGCAAGTCTTCTGCAAGAGCAGATCGAGGTTTCGGGCCTTTTCAAAACCAAAGCTCTATTCAGATACGGAGCCAACACTGCGCGCATGATCGCGCATGCATATGTTTATATATATATATATATATATATATATATATACATATACGCACACAGAGACACTTTGCGGCAGGGAACATGTCGCCAGGCATGTCTTTTGACCTTTCACGATCCAGCAGCCTTCTTCAAGCAAACTCGCAAGCAGCCGTTAGATTACTTGGCATTGGCAACAGCTCGCATGGAGTCCGTCCACGAAAAGTCGTTGGAAGCCAGCAGCTGGCAATACGGCCGTGCATGCTTGCCTGCGCCAAGAAAACAGAAGAGCCGTTCATCAGAACCGCTTCCAGGAAGGCTTCGATGCCACCAACTTGGTCCAGCTCTGGCACATGCACAACATCGCCAATATGCACCATGCAGGAAGGGGCCTGCAGCCTGCGAGCCACCTGCACGCAAGGCCAAGCGAGCCCACTCAAGCTTCTTGACGGCACCCTCCACATGGTAGGCAGATTCTCGCCGACAAAGGCCTCCAGCATCTGATCGCCGACACGAAGTGCCAGATGCTGAGCCTGCAAAATTTGAGGGCTGCAATTTGCCAAAACTGCGTTCGTATACACATTCTAATCAGTCAAGGCACCATCTGACTGTTGTTGGCAACATGTGCTGCCAGCGTCTTCACGACTCGGTGCTTCCGCTCTGCGGCAAAGCACGACAGGCAGCATTTGTGCTGTGCAATACCATCTGGCAAATGATAATGACAATGAAACTTTGGCCGCTTGCAAAACTCGTACAGCGTCCACACCAACGTGTTGTACCGGGCGATGGCCTGCGTGTCAAGAGCGTGCACATTCTGCGCACTTCTTATTTATATATACACGCACTATAAGTAAGCAAGAACTTAGCAGCAGAAAGGTTTGCCGGTTTGGATGCCAGGCACCGCTCGCAACTCATCGCAGCTGAACGGCCCTCTCCTGCTCGGTCAAGATGTCGAAGATCTCCGAGAGGACCATGACAGCTTCGCAGTGAGCGGGGCAAGTGCCTCCTCGCTGCAGGCGGGTCTCCACCAGAAGCTTCAAGACCATTGTCAACTGCAGCACCTCTGAAGCGAAGCACCTCATGTGCGACCCTTCTTCCTTGCACACCCTCTCCTGGAAGAAATTCGCGGGGAGCTTCGGCCTCGACTTCGGCAAGATCACAACGGCTGCGAAAGCATCAATATCCTTGAGATCCATATTGTGCTGCAGCAATTCCTTGCAGAATTCGTTGAGGCTGTACTGGGCAAAAGCCCTCCCGAGGCCGCCAGAATGTGCATCCAATCCATCATCGTGTTCTGAATCGGGTCCACGATGGATCGAAGAGTTGGGTGCCAAGGCACACCCTTCCCATCAGAGGTCAGCCCGTACAGCTGACCTCTGTCCTTCAAATCCTTCTTCCGATCTCTGACAGCCTCAAGCCTGTTTCTCATCAGCTGGAAACTTTGAGAGGTGTGAGGACGGAAGCGATTTGGGAAGCGGCGCGTATAGTGCACCAACTCTTCGTCATCTTCCAGCTTCGAGGCAGCCATGTGTCCGATCACATTCGAACAAAACGGGCAGGGCTTCGTCCCGCTTGCCCCTCGCAGCAGCCACAGGCGTGCAGGGCATTTTCGCCCGAAATCACCAAACCAAGCGAAGCTTGGCATGCGAAGAGCCCTGAAGATGTTCGGAAGGAGAATCCCGTTGGGAAATTCAGAAAAGACTTCTCAAAGAACTCACGCAGCATCTTCGCGAAGAGTGCACTGTACCCGCCGGCCACATTGGAAAGCAGCTTTTGCGGAAATGCCCCGAGGAAACATCCATCCGGAGTCTCGCACCTGAAACCACGACGGCCACTTCGCAAGCGTCCAGTAAAAACAGCGTCTGGTCTGAGGACGTTTCCAGGCTTCACTTCGTCCATATATAGCAAGCGATGCGAGGCGCGCGGTGTGCAAGGCCAAAAAGTCCCCGAACTCCTCATTGCCCTGCCAAAGGGTGCAAAGGCATGCTGCCGGTCGAAGGAAGTGCCACTCGTACTCGCCGCCATCGAGGAGCGGCACTGATACTCTGTCCAGCATGGGGCCACAAGGGGTCTCGGGTCTGCGTCCTCGACTGCCCGTCATCCAGGAGGGCCGCTGCATCTGCAAAGCTCACATTGCGTGGCAAAGCGGCGGTTCGGGGGCCGCTTCTGCGAGACATCCTCCATGGACGGAGGCAAGCCTTCCGGCACCGACGTACTGTTTGGTTTTAGCCTATATAGAAGTTACAACTTTTTAGGCTTTGAGCTCCACTCAATTTTAGCCTATATGACAAAACTTTTGGGCTATAGGGTTTGAGCTAGAATCTCAGGCGTGCATGTCCTGCATGTTTTCTGCTGGGGCGAAGCCACCAGCTTTCACCGAAAGCTTCTTGGAGCCAACAAAATCAGGCAACATATATACAAGGTGTATGTCTATATAGATAAAATATGGCCTGCGTCTTTCAGACCTTTCAAGGATCTGGCTTTCCTTTTCTCTTCTGCAGGCAAAAAGATTTCGAGTCGTGCAAGGACGGGCAAGCCTCGTCAAATTCCGAAACCCTTCACGGCCGTTTACAGCTTGTAGCTGTTTCTTTTAAGGCTTTAAGGAGCTGTCGCTGCGTTACTGCATGAAGGGATACGGGTACCCTTTTGAAGGCTGCGGCGGCTGCGGCGGCGGTGCTTTGGCACTCAGGTTGAAGTTGTCCAAAACCGCCACTTCTTCCTGCTCCGCGTAGTCAGCTTCCGAGGTTGGGCTTGCCGTCTCCGGAAGCGGCGGCACCACTTCCACCTCTGCGGCCTGCGGAGGCTCTGCAGGGCCGGGCGATGCTTCAGCCTGAGCTGCCTCAGCCTTCACTGGAGGCCTTGTTGGCAGAGGTGATCGTGGCCACGGTCGCTTTGCGGGAACTTCCCCTGCAAGCATCGATGTTGTAGAATTTGGAGGTGAGGAGACGTCTGGGTGGCCGCCCACTGAAGAGCTCCAAGCAGGGCTCGAAGTTGGGTTTTCTCCCTCTCGGTAGCTGGGGTGTTTCGGTCAGAGAGGCGTAACTTGTCAAGGTGGATCGGCTTGAGCTTGATCAAATATTCCTCGTGGCCACAGCTGTGGCCTCCGCCTGGTTCGCGGCGAACATGAAGTCAAAGCTATCCTGGTCCTCCAAGCAGTCACGGAAGGAGAAAAGTTCCATGAGGTTCTTTTTGATGTGTTCCTTCTCCTCCATATAGCGGCTGCGCCCAGCAAATCGCCCACGTGAAGACCAATGGCGCACCGCAGGTCCGGGCAAAGAGGAGGAACAGGCAGGCATCCAGGGGGTTCCAATCGACGGGAAGCCTCATCAAACCATGCCCTGGCGGGTCGCACAAACCACACATCGGTTTGCGCAGCTTCATGCAAACTTTTGGGTCGGGAACTCCAAGCATCTGGCAGGCATCTGTGGGAAGACGTACCCACAACGTGCAGCAGAGTGTTCGCGGCTTTGCGGTCGTGACATCTGCCACAAAAGTTCCCCACCCCCACCTCATCAGGGTAGCGAGAGAAAGCAGGGGTGGTCCTTCCGAGGCGTGAGAGTGAGGGAGAGGTCGAGTCCATCAGTCCAGCCAGCGCGTCAGGGTCCCGATATCCTTGGATGACAAGACGGGCCTTGGCTCAAGGAGTGCCGTCAGAGTTCTTGGACCACTTCAGTCTGAAGTGAGCCTTCAGGACACGTCCTTGAGGAGCGTCGGTCTCATGTGAGAACTCCCACACGTTGTTGACGAAGAAGGATCCCAGTTCCTCGCGCTCGTTGGCCTCAACAAAGGACAGTCGGTTCATGATGTGCTGATTGTTGAGGTTCTTGGCATCCTTCTGCCTCTTTTTCCTTGGTTCCACTGTAGGTGTAGGAGCACTGGGAAGTGGTGTAGAAGGCGGCGTGGGCCTCCCGTCGCTCTCGTTCAATGATCTTGTCCGGTCCACCAGTCACATGAGGGGCTTCCTGCTGTTCTCCAGCGGTCCTTGTGGCAACGGGTAATTTGCTTTGTCGACCGGATCTTGGTGAGCATGTGGACGGGACTTGGGCAGTCGCCCGATGGAAAAGGGTATCCCTGGCCACATAGTGGTTGCGGATGATTGTTGCCACTGATCTTCTATGTGTCATGGATCACGTCAGCGTGCCACATCCGTCCGGTAGAGACCTGGAAGCTTCCGTGGCTGGATTCGACGGTAGGACCAGCTCCAGGACACGGCTGAGGCCTATCGGCATGTGTTGAGGACTGTGGTCCGTAGCTGATGGTTTCGCTCCGATCTATGCGAGCTCTGCTCTGGTGGAAGTCTGCGGAGTCTGGAGTCCACAAACGTAGGATGCGGAGGTGTTGTCGACTGTGGTCCGTGGCTGGTGTGGTTTCGCTTCGATCTATCCCAGCTCTCTTTGCGGGAAGGTCTCTGTGGAGTCCGGCCTAAACCGGCTATGGCCTGTTCTGCCATCCGCCTTCGCCGACACCGTCCTGGAGGGCGGTGCGCAGACCGTGAGCTCTGCATGCGCCCGCGCGCGCTCACAGAGCAGCCAGTCTCTTGCAAAAAAATGTGGCTGCTTTGCCTTCGGCCGTCAAAGTTCCGTCATCCACAGGAAACGGACCTCAGGGGCCGGGGACTTCTTGGTCGTCCGGCTGAGCCGTCGGACCAGTCGGGCCAAGCCTCGACCCCTTCCAACAAAGCCTCGAAGTCAAAAACGGGCGAAGCCTCGAAGGCTGTGCTGCGAGGCTGCCTACTTGCAATGCACACCTGAAAGTCCTGAGACTGTGCCTGCTGCCTCTGGCTGAAAGTGTGTTTCCCGCCCCGTGCCTGCTGCATGCCAAAATGGCTGTGCCTGCTGCGGGCGAGCCTCGAAGTGGAGCCAGATATGTCGCGAATTGGTCCGGAGCGACGGGGAGGAAAAAAGGGCATGCGAAAGCACACAACATGAACCCGGAGAGATGATAGAATCTGATAGATATGATATTGAGGCGGATGAAAAAAATGTCATTGAGGCGGAGAAAAACATGATTTCCGGAGATAAAATGCGAGTTTCCGGCGATGCAAAAGACTAACCTTAGCAGCAAAAACCACGGACAAAAATGGGCCCAGACTACAACAAAGTGCGGTTGTTGGAGCGGGACCTATCCACTTGCTAAGGCTGCTAAGTCCTTCTATCCGTTTAGCGAGGACTTCCTATCCCGTTAGCAAATGCACTTATGTCTTTATCATCCGAGTCTATATCCTGCAGCATTTATATCCGGCATGTCCGTTCCAACTTATATGTCCACAGACTGGACTTATACGTATACATGAAAGTATACTATTCACAAAGATCGCCCCTAGGCACTCCCATCAATGAACACTCGCCGGCGGTGTCCTGAGGGACATGCCCCGGCAGACTTTGATGCTGGCCGGGGGGAAAAGCCCACTCCATGAGAGTTGCTGCAATGCTCCCGACCAGGTTCATGACACAGTAGGAAAAGCAATCCTATCAGGTGGAGGTCTGAATGGGAAGACAGCCAAAGTGCCCCTGCATTTTGGGTGCCATGGAAGTCTACGTCCTCTAGAGCAGAATCTGTTGGGGCTTCCCGCAATGAAGTGTTAAGCCCTCGATCAACCAAATCAGCGAGGAATTCTCTGGCAGGGACGGGGTACTGCCGTCCCAACGTAGAGCATGCTCCGATCATGGTATGAAACAAGGACCGGCCTGTCTTGCTGCTGGGCAGGCAGGACTGGATCTGGAGCCCACATGTTTGGCCTATCTCATCTAACCTTCCCGTGATGGTGCTGCACCACTCAGCAGGTTGGCCCTGGCGGTCTGAACGGAAGAACCGACAAGAAGAAGGGCAGTGGGTGGGAGTGGATCGGCGCCAATGTCAGCACGGCCTGCTGAGGATGTGTCGCTGCTCCGGTTGAAGCGGACTTTTTTGCAGTTCCCATTCGGCATCATCTGTCCGTCCATCTGACTATAAGACTAATCAAGTAGACCTGATGCAGGGTCCAAGGGTATTGGCTCAGGGTAAAGCCTGGCGGCAAGTATAAGAATGCCACCCCACGGTGCAGGGGCAGACCAAAAGCATTGTGGGACATTGAACGTACAGTTGTAAACTTCCAGCATGCCACTGTGAGCTTCCTATGTGGCTCACCCCGCTGTGCTCGGCGCTGCATGGCTGCCAGGCGGCCGCAGGAGAGAATCCGAGGTCTCAGCCGCAGGACAGAGCACAATCGCGTGTCCGATGCACTCCAATGGAGCGATAAAGAAACCGCACCAGCACAAAGAAAACAATCGCCCTAAATTTAAAGGCGCGCATAAAAAGGGCAGACAGCGAATCGCATTGACATCGAGGTCTCCAGGAGCAGCGAGCAGGCCGGCGCCTCTGCTGTCGCGCACTTGATTCCCGGAACAGAAAGCCTTACTGATCCGACTGTTTGGCACCAAGGAGGGATCTGTGTCGAAACAATTGGGGAGGTCATCAAACCTGGCAACCCTACAAATCGGCGCCACAGCAAGCCCGTGCAACACCACCGCGTTGTCAATCGGCACTCTTGGCCAACTAGGGTAACTAGGGCTAGGAATCTAGGAGGACAGAGGGAAGATGGCAGGGCTGAGCACAGCGTGTCCCTGCACTGTGCGATGGTGACGGCATTGCAATTGCAAAGCTCCGTTAAGAAACCCAAAACGACGAGTTACGGGCCGAGGATGATAATGTCCTGGCAAGGTCAGATAGGAGCCGAAAGGGTGGACAGCATCGCAGACCTCCAGAATTGATCACCTTAGCAATCATACTGACGGCAAAGCAATGGCAAAGGAATTTAAGCTGAGTTCAGGAATGGAAGGGGAAAAGGCAAACACGTGCAAGTAAACCCAAGGAGGAAGCACAGTTGCCGGGGATGACAAAGACCATGCAAGAAGAGCCCGAGCTGCAAAACATTCTACCGCAAGGGTGAAAACGACGAGGTCCGGGTGCTGCGCCCCCGTCAAGTCAGCTGGTAGGCATTGACCGAGGGGAGCCTCGCGCGCAAGAAGCTTCCCTGGAACCGATGTCCAAGAAGTGGCAAAGACCCCGCCAGCCTTG